CAATTAGTTTTAATCAAGAAGACAAGTATTATATAATCACATTGTCAGATGTACGTTCAAGGGGCCGAAAAGAAAAACAGAAAAAAAAAGTTTGTTTGTTTTTCTTTCCAAAAATTGATGCGCGCATTTATTTTTAAATTATTTGTAAAATTTATTTTTGTTCCAAATTTTCGAAATTTGTAACTGATGTGAAGTGACTAGGAAATAAATATTTCTGTCAGGTGTCTTACTGTGAAACAAGTACATTTTAAAGTGGACTAGATAACAGCGTTGATGTATAAAGTAACGTAAGTAGAACTCGCCAAATTTCACAAGGATGGACCATTATTTAAGCAGAGGGGCTCGATTTGATCCATAAAATAAAAGCAACTACATTTTTACCTGGATATTTAGAGACCTCTTTGTTTGAAGTCTCCCTCAAAAACAAATTGGCACATCATGAGAAACTATAAACATGCTGGAAAATTGACACATAAACACCCATAGTGGAAATAATGGTCTAGCCCTAACGCATTTTGTTACCTATATGACACAGTACCATCACACCAAGGAAGATAAATGCAAGTCTGGTAGGAAGGAGGGAAGGAAGGAGTTAAAACTCAATTCATTATTAGTTTGGGAAACGGGGAAGTGAGGGGAGTAAACACCAAACTGAAAGGGTTGAGAAAATTATAATTATTTTGATTTAAATAAGTTTATTACGATGACTGCAATCCAGTGTTGTTTGTGTTAAAGAAAAATCTGGTAAACTATAGAAATACAATGGAGGTAAGACATGCAAACTTAAACACTACTTAGTTGTGAAAGCTCAAATCTGATTGGCTGTGATAACTGAAATCTAGGGGTTTCTATTAAACTGGCCAATCATATTGCATGTACCTTCCTTGTGTTGTTCAGGTGTTCCATCAGGAAATTGGTAAGTTGGTGTGTAAGGATTTGTCTCTATGGATAAAAGAAGACAAACAAACAGGAGAGACAGAGAGAGAGGAAAATGGTAAGATGTATTGTAGATTCCATTATGAATAAGAGAATTGTGGCTAAAGGGAGTGGTGTGAAGGTGTGACTGACAATCATAACACACGATAAAATTTCTTCTTGTGTTTTTATACTAACAATATATACATTTAGTTCCTGGGCAGGATTTTTTTTTATTTGGATGTTTTTAAGACTACTTTATTTCACACCATTTAATAGTGTTACATGTTGCCTGATCACTTGAGTGTACTGATATGACATTGGTGTTTTTTAAAAATGGTGGAATAAGTCGATCATGAAATCTCTCTAATTTTTTTTTAGAAGTTTCATGTTTCCCTGAGTCACCACATCACATTCATTAAAGCGGGGGAATCGTCACCTGCGCATGCGTCAGATGGCCATAGCGTGTCATTATTTACAAGCGACTACCCATGAACCTTTGCGTTTTTAGCGTGTGTTGCTATCATCGCTTGGGACTCAATTCCGTCACGTGCACAGGTGACATCTCTCCTGCTTTAAATAAAAACAAGTTAAATTGGCATAGATTCGACAAGAGTTTACCAAAACGATTAGATGGAATGTAAAAGATGATTTTAAAGAGTATTTATATCAGAATATATGAACATTTTGCAGTTCGTAATTTGAAACTACAATGTGTATTCTTGGTGTATCAGCAGAAACATACATGTAGAATGCAGTTATAACTATAGACAACAGGACACCATCATGTAAGTAACTTACAACAGTCTATGATTTGATGACAGCTTATGTAAAGTTTTGACAAGCAGATCAGTAGTGATGATTTCAGTGCCAGACCAGACCAGTTGAGACACACTATCGTTGAAAGTTCATTCAAATTTTGCCTACATCCCAGTTATTTCAAGTCAACAAAAGTTTTACCTACATCACAGTTCATTCAAATTTAATTATACAATGTATGTAATGTGAAACATGGAGTTATCCATTCAAATTGAGTTTGCCATCATCACAGTACATTCATATCATGGAGTTATCCATTCAAAATGAGTTTTGCAATCATCACAGTGCATTCAAATCATGGAGTTATCCATTCAAAATGAGTTTTGCCATCATCACAGTGTATTCAAATCATGGAGTTATCCATTCAAAATGAGTTTTGCAATCATCACAGTGCATTCAAATCATGGAGTTATCCATTCAAAATGAGTTTTGCCATCATCACAGTGCATTATTTTCATGGAGTTATCCATTCAAAATGAGTTTTGCAATCATCACAGTGCATTCATATCACGGAGTTATCCATTCAAAATGAGTTTTGCCATCATCACAGTGCATTCAAATCACGGAGTTATCCATTCAAAATGAGTTTTGCAATCATCACAGTGCATTCAAATCATGGAGTTATCCATTCAAAATGAGTTTTGCCATCATCACAGTGCATTCAAATCACGGAGTTATCCATTCAAAATGAGTTTTGCAATCATCACAGTGCATTCAAATCATGGAGTTATCCATTCAAAATGAGTTTTGCCATCATCACAGTGCATTCAAATCATGGAGTTATCCATTCAAAATGAGTTTTGCAATCATCACAGTGCATTTAAATCATGAAATTATCCATTCAAAATGAGTTTTGCCATCATCACAGTGCATTCAAATCATGAAGTTATCCATTCAAAATGAGTATTTTCCATCATCAAAGTTCATTCAAATGTGTACTAAAATATGAATTCACCTTGTTTTGCTGGATTACAATACATGAAAAACAAAGTGTCCACAATAAAAGTGGAGTCTGCAATTCAGTGCAATGCCTCGACCAATAAAATTACAAATTTCTTTTGTTAACCATTTCACATGATGCACAAAATTTAAAAGTTGCATACTTTGGTATCTAAGTTGCTGAGGATACGGCAGCCATGACGACAGCGTCTCAAAGTATCTTTTCATCACTACCAGCTATAACTATGATTGTTATATTTCGTCAAATTTTTTTTAATTAGCTTGATCAGTTTATCAGAGCAATATGAAAATGGTTGGAGTGATTGGAGTGGAGCACACCAATACTTCAAGTCTCTGAATGGAATATAATGATAAGGAGAATCAGACGCGGTCAGTTATGCAACTCTATAGTTGACAGACGTACCTTTTTTTTTTTTATCATCTGAGTCTTCAGGAAAAATATATGTTGGTGTATAGGGGTTATCGTCTGTGGGGAAAGGAATAAAAATGTTAAAAAAATCAATGAAAATAGATTATCTTGTCTGTAAGCTAGCGGGATGTGAATTTTATTTTTAATATGTGAATATTTTGTTTTATTTGCAATTGTCAACATAAAAAGAATGATTCATTGTGAAACAAAAGAGTTATAAATGAAAGGTAGATAAGTTTGATGTTCAGATATTAAAAGCCAGCTTCTTTGCCCACTTATCACCAACACATTTACAGCGCACCTTCATTCAAGTCACATTTGGAAGTAAAGTGAGTTTTTGCCCTCTTCCTGTCACTGGGAGCAATTAAATACAATTTATCCATCATTGTAAAGGAATCGGTAAAATCAGCCCAAAGTGTACAAAAACAATTAGAAAATGCAGTGAACCATTTAATTTAAGAATATCACAATTTGATAACCTTGAAGGAGTAATTATGTGAGTAAAAAATTTCACGAAAGTTTTAAACCTAATCCTAACTACTTTAACAAAATGTTCCTTGCTACAAAATTGTTCCTGCTTTGCAAAATTCTGTTTACAGAGCTATGAATTGATATACGAGATGAAAAAAGTCCAAAATCTACAATGATGATTAAACTCAAGAGGAGGGACAACAGAGGATAAATAACCAACATTTCCAAAATGAAACATTGCTTGCATAAAAATGTGGCATGCAAGAAAATTGTTCAATGATTCATTGACATAAAAATACATTCTCGCTTGTCACAATCCTCTCATAAGTGTTGTCATGACAATCATGCCAGAATATACTGTCACCAATTCCAATATTTCATATTTATTTCAGTGAAAATATAAATTCTAAAATTGACAGGAAGAGGAAACTATGAACCATTACAATTCATTATGAAACTGAGAAAATTCACTTAAAACCAAGAATAGTATTTCCACTTAATCCCAACAAAGGATAAGCGAGTTTCGACAGTTTCTATGGCAACATGACATGCAGTGATACTGTCTCATATCTCAGTGAATGGAAAAATAGTGTTGAATCATGCAAACAATACAGACGTACACATCATCACAGTCCACACAAACAGTTCACATAGGATATTTATTTAGCTACATTCTATTCTATATCTCTTCATTTATTTATGATACATATAGCACTGTCCAATGGTATATATTTCAAGTGTAAGACAAAATTTGCATACATGTACACTGCAAGATAAATTTTCAAAATGGCTGCTTCCATAGCAACATCATTTTTTATAACATTTCAAAATGGCTACTTCCATAGCAACACCATTTTTTTAACATTTCAAAATGGCTACTTCCATAGCAACACCATTTTTTATAAAATTTCAAAATGGCTAATTCCATAGCAACACCAATTTTTTTACAACATTTCAAAATGGCTGCCTCCATAGCAACATCATTTTTTATAACACGTTGTTTTTTTTATAACATTTCAAAATGGATGCTTCCATATGGGGACTCTACATTTGTATAATACTTGCACACTCTTAACTTCATAAACCCTTGAATACCAGGGTACTTCAGGGTAAAGAGTAAAAAAAAAAAAATATGTTTTTTTTTCAACTGGAAGCAAAATGCTTGTTTGATTTTGTTAACAGAAGATCATGAATTTTTTATTAAACAAGATTTTCTCAGTAAAGTCTGTACCGTGAAGTCTAATTTCACTTAGCATGCTACTCCAGATATTAATTTAATCAGAAACAGACTTCGAAGATTTGACTCAGACAGTTGTCTGATTGGTTGATGATATCCAATTAAAATTAATATTCCTGCATATTGAACAAGTTGTCAGATAAAACCTACAACACAAATATTGCGCAACAATTTTACTCTATATACATATAATTTAAAAAAGGTATTATTAGTACGAAGAACAATTAAACTATCACAAGAATTAGCTGCTTTTACAATAGGGTATTGTCTTATTTTATTTCATGCTAGGAAAGAGAATATGTGAACTGTTGTGCTTGGGAAACATGTATAGAGCACTTGGAAATCCTGTATGTTTCAGAGAAAGCACAGAAAGAGGTTTATATTTGTTGGCGCATTATATTTATGATCATGAAGTTTTTCTGATATTTTTATACAGCTTTAGCATAACTGCAAACTTGCATATGTAAATGAGTTTCCAAATATGGTATTTACTATGTAACTTAGTTTTCCAATAAGATTTGATATGCAAATGAGTTTCTATATATGGTGATTATTAGGCAACTTACTCTTCCAATAGGTGTTGAATATGCAAATGAGTTTCAACAATATAGTCTTAGTAGATAACAGTTAACAAATGTGGCATTGATATGCAAATGATACTATATATAAATGGATATATATATATGTAAATGATTTCCAAATATGGTTTTTACAGGCATAACACAAAAGTTTTCCAAGTATACAGAATATTGACACATTCAACTACATTTATAAAAGTTTGGACAACCTATCAAAATGCCGTCACGCAAGAACCGCTCATATTTATTATCTTCATCTGCAAGGAATGAAGGAAAGTTACAACTTAGCAAAATACGCCATCATAGGAAGAGTCCTTCTGAAGTAGAAGCCACCACTATTGTCAAAATATCATTTATATATATTATATCATATTTAGGGAAAGATAAATGTGTAATGAATAAACATATCAATCAAAAGTAATTAATTCCTTTCAAATAAAAGCCATAAAGGAAATAGAGCTTCAACTTTTTAAAAGCCCAAATCAACTTTTGCATACAATTAATGAGCAATTATGTTAATTTGGGCTGAAATTAACAAAAAAATTCAAGAAAAATTCATAAAAATTTGCAAACCTTTTCATCAAAATTTGGTGAGAAAAATTGTAGTGCCAAAATTTTTTTTTTATTTGGACCTTTTTTAGCTACCGGTATCTATGATGGAAATGAAACTTCAGAAGGACTCAGCTTAAAAATATAATGAAAGCAAGCAAAACTATAAATAAAATAAGATATTAGTAACAGTAGCTGAAAAGGATAGAATCATTAATTGTTGAATGTATTTTATTAGTAAAAAGTTTGTGCATTCATCAAAATGTAACACATGCTGAGATTATCAATACACCCCTACATTATGTACATGGTATAGCTCACTATTAAGAAATAGAGAAAAAAAAATTAAATTAGGGGTAAAGAATAATGTGTAAGAATTACATAAAACAAGCAAACATGCAAATTATAATAACATAAATGTTGTATTAAATGTTTTCTTTATATCATAAGATTTTCTAAGTTTCAAAAATAGTGAATTGAAAAATCCAGACTTTCCGTTGGCCAACAGTTCCAGACTTCCCATTGGCCAACAGTTTCAGACTTCTCATTGACCAACACTTCCAGACTACCCATTGGCCAACAGTTCCAGGCTACCATTGGCCAACAGTTCCAGACTACCTATTGGCTAACAGTTCCAGGCTACCCATTGGCCAACAGTTCCAGGCTACCCATTGGCCAACAGTTCCAGGCTACCCATTGGCCAACAGTTCCAGACTACCTATTGACCAACAGTTCAAGACTACCTATTGGCCAACAGTTCAAGACTACCCATTGGCCAACATTTCCAGACATTCCATTAGCCAAGCCAAGTATGTTAATTAGTATAATGAACATCATTGCTACATAGTAACTTGTATTGACAAATGACAATATAAACATATGTGAGCTTCGCATCTTTAAATTAGGTTAGTATTCAAAGACCATTGTTTAGAAGAACTCACACTCAGCCAAATAACATGTGTAATCAGTAGGGCCCAGAGAAAAACAAATTCTAGCCAATTTGTTTTCCAAAATCGATAAAAATCAAATTTTTCTATTCAGGCATTTCAAATATTTATATAATCTGTAATAATTTAATTCTATTTCATCTGTCATATTTATATGGCAGTAAGATTGTCACCCTCTCCCCATCAAATAATCAATACCCTCCACCCCTTCTAAAATGGAATAGTCCATAACACAGTTTCAAAATGCAAACAAATTTATCCTTGTCAAATTTTGTTTGTTATTTTTCAACATTTTTTAGCAGATTTTCACTACCAAAGTATCAGCACAAATTTACTTTAATTGTCACTTTGACGATATTTTGATTTTTGTTTTGACCAAACAGATTTGTTATATGCATGAGAGGTTAAAGGTCATCCAGTGGTGGTTAAACAGGATGCATTTGATATGGTTCCAAATAAAATATGTAATGCACAGAGACAATCAAGTTTTGATTTCTGAATAAACTATACAGAGTAGAGAGTTAATAAGTTAAAGGGTAACAAAGAACTCGCATAACAAAAGTTACTATATTTCATCTTCCACTCAAATCTTCTCCACAGATTGTTATCTTGCAATTAATGTTTATTTGTTTGTTATTTGTTTATACATACCATCCTTCTTTTCTTGTCGGTGAATTGATTTGTACATTTCTTTGTACCAATCATGTCTATTTTCTTCTTTTACTCCCTGCATATGAAAAAACGTCCGATAATTCAAAGACAAATCTATATCATTTTCAGCATCACAGTGAAAGTATAATACCGGTAGTAGCACAATAGTTGCGTTCGCGCACAGCTACTTAGCACGGACTAAGAGGTAAGTCCTACTAAGAAAATGTGCGCACATGCTTAGTACGGACTAAAAAATGTCAAGCACATGCAAAATCTGACTCGGTCCAGACAGTTAGCATGAGCTAACCGCTCAAAACACCATGATTGAATTTGATGACCATTTGGAAGACTTACTGAATTTGCATTGATATTGTTTTATAATAATAGAACCAAGTTAAAAAGACTGAAGATTTGTATATTCATAACAAGTGTGAGTATTTCTTAGTCCACGCTAACTGCTGTTTCCTCCCGTGCATGAACGCAATGAGGTATAGCCAATTTGCAAAAATATGAAATTAGCTTAAATCTCACCGCGTACTTGGTGTAATGTGAACATGACTGATGTATTCTATTTACTTTTTTATTTACTGATGAGAATTTACAAGACTTACTAGATAAGATTCTAGTATCGAGCGAGAATCCACTCCTCGATATTACAAGAATACAGTGAAAAGCAGAAAGCTGTTTCTTAGTTTATAAATACATTTATAACAATTTATAAATACCAATCATTAGCTTTCATTTAAATTCAAATATTTCACTGGTTTGCTCAAGAGCTCCACATTGTCTATGCCCATGATGCAGACACAAGCCTTTAAGTAACACAGCTACAGCCCACTTACTGTAAAATATTTTATTTTAGCTGGAATTAATTTTTGCTGAAAACCCTTTTTAGGTGTTTTGTATGGAATTAATTTTCACTGATTTTTGATGCGTTGAATGTAAAATATAGGAAACAGTCATTGTCATGACACGTCC